GCTTGTTTATGAACATATTTTGATCAAATTTGGAAAATGTTTTATTTCTTACTAACTATTAACATTTTACAAAAAAAAAAAAACAGTTTTACCCTCCCTGATGCAGCAAACCTAAGTACTTGTTAAACTAATTCTATTTAAATCGGGAATAATGTTATATTTTTAAGTAGACATTTCAGTGTAAATCCAATCAGTCAAATGGGTATTCGCTTAGTCTGCAGGTTTGCTGCGGCGGGAGTATTTTTAAGGTTTATTGTATTCCAGCTTGCGGTCCTTTCCGAAGAAATTCTGTTGAAAGATCCAATGTTTTATAAAACCCCCATTAGTGTCATAGTCTCCTTATTGGCTTTACATAACTAAGGGAGTACCGTACTGTATGTTTTAGCATTGACTATAGTATAAACAGACTCTTGTACAGTCAATGGTTTTATGGATGGCACACCTGTAGGCTTGTGCTGGAAGTAAATTTTAGATTTGAGAATACTGTAGTAAGGGACCGCTGGAGGAAACTGAGTGTGTTAAACCTATGACACCACCGATGAATTCAAAAATTTAGTCTTGCAAAAGGATGAAATATGTCAAAAACCCAATTGAATCTTCTATTTAAAGAAATATTGGCTTATCTTTTCCAAGTAGAGTTGGCTCTTCTACCAGACCGATTTTCATAATTTTTGTCTTAAATTAAAGTTATGCACACATAGATTTGCCAAGTATTGACATACATTTATCTGCCGTATATTTACAGTTATGCACAAAAGCAACTGGTACTTACGTATTAAACGGAGGCCACATTTTGTCAGCGCGCTGCGGCGGTTATGTTAGGTTGGGTTATCATAATAGAAAGTATAACTCGTCTGGTATCGTTCGATTCATAACGAAGCGAGGAAAGTCCTACACACATAATATTTACGATAACCCAACCTAACATAACCGCCGCAGCGCGCTGTCAAAATGTGGCCTCCGTTTAATACGTAAGTACCAAGCAACTTCATCCATATACATTATCATGGGAGTTAAATTTGGTTTTTCTTTTCCAAGTTCGTTCTGCTCTTCTACCCGACCAATTTTCATAATCTTGGTCTTAAACTAAAGGTAAAGATTTTTAATTTGATGTGATGTGCACATGTAATACCCTTCCTAGATAAATAATACCATAGAATTCCATAGTAATGATTATCTATCTATATATTAATAGGCAAGCATGTTTCTTTAAAACCTTTTTTCTAAGCTCGTGTGCATAGCAAGGAAAGTCTATGCATACTGTTAAAAAGATATTTACCTGTAGATGTACAGAATCCCTTTATACATTAAAATAGGCTCAAAAATAAGCACAAAAAACAAATTTTAAATTTTAAAAAGTTAACATGGGTCTTATAGGTTGCTATGTTGGTGACAAAATAACAAAATATAAACAGAAAATCAAAACAAATGTAAGAAATTACAATCACACGTTTTATTTACAGTGTGGGGTGAAAATAGAGAAGCCTGTACATTGGATATTTTTTGGTCGAGTATCGACCACTGGACGACCACTAGTATAAAATTATTGAGACAAGAGGACCCTGTGCTGCTCCTTAGCATTGAAATCTGTTTTTTGACTAAGTAATATTTACCGAACTTATTCAAAGGATCAATATTTCAAATGAAAGCCTTTATTTCTTTTCTAGGAGTATTTTAAGACCAAGACATAGGAAAATAACTAAAATAAAAATGGAGTTATGTATCATTGATTGCAGAAGTCCTGAAATAATTATAATTATTGGTGATTCGTAATTCAGCAGCAAGCTATGTGCGATTTTAATAATCTACAGCTCAAACGAAAGCAGGTATTTCACTTAAGTTTCTTAGACCAAAACATATAGGATAATGTAATTAGAACTGGCGAGAACTGGCGAAATACATATTTAATTGAAGTAGGCCTAAATATTTTGTATTTTGGTACATTTAAATTAATGATGATGCATGATTAATGAAATGCATGTATTTTCACTAAGGCCAGAGCAAATGCTATAATATTGTATTATTAAATATTTTTTCCATCTTGTTTTGTAGTAAGAATGTAAAAATGGAGTTTGTCCGTTGGTATGCAAAATAAAATGGCAAACCTGTGTGTGCATGTAGGCCTATTAGCAGAATACAATACCACAAAACTCAACTCAAACGGACAACTGAGTAAAAAATTGGAGCTTACTTCAAAATTGCAATTTTAAGAAATATAATTTGGTATCTTTGAACAGCTGTAATTTTTGACTAGCCTAAATAGTCTGTTTAATTTCAGGTTTTTGTGTATTGTATTCCGCCAAAAAACAGTTTTTACTTGACCAAATGATTTTCTTTTAACTTCTAGCGGGCGTCCCAAGATTACAAATTGAACAAATCTTTAAACAGCTGACATTATTTGCTCGGTTGTTCATTGAGTCTGGGTTTGCAGCAAGTTGTGTTTTACTAACAATGACCTTCAATTAGGTGCATATCAATCTATGCTACTTGCGTTAATATAATTGTCTTCTGACTCCAAGCAAGCCGTCCCCTTGAGCAGGTAGTGTATATTCACTGAATAATGTTTTAAAATGTATTTTATGTCCAGTGACTTTTTCTAAGAATTCTAGCTTCATTTATTTTAGGCAGAGGATACGTGTCCAGCAGTTACTGTCATTTCTAACCTAACTAACCAAACCTGCTGATAATGAGAAAATCTAATGAAGGTTAAATTTTGCTCGTAAAATAAAGTTATACAGTAAATGCCTCAAATTATAATAGAAGAAATAGCATTTTAAGCAAAATCTTCGACAAAAAGTTAAGTGTCACCGATGAAATTCGATCTTAATTCCTCTTGTACACTACTGTAGCCGAGTACTCTCTCCACTACACCATGAACACGGATAGCTGCATAACGTATCGTTGTGGTAATGGTGTTCCGGGCCCCCACAACCTGGTGACGTCACTGCCGGACGCCTAATGTATGTTCAGTTGAAACCAGACACGTACAGTACCCTCTGCACTGCACTTTTAAAAAAATACAGTATTTAGCTTTCCCACGACTTTTAAAGTGTTAAAAAGTTCAAAAGTGTCCATTTTTAACTTATTGAAACTCTGTAACCACCAGTATTCACTTAAACAAGACTATGAAGAGAAACTATTAGGGTGAGGTGGGGTAAGTGCACTACGTAAAATCGAAAGTTTAACTTTGACCAGGTCTGAGCACATAATTTGTAATGGTAGAAAATTCATATTTTTACCATGCATTTTCAAGAATGTTCTCTATTAGTCTTGAAATTTTCATAAAAATAAAACCCTTAGGTATAATTTTTTGTTTTTTTTTTTATTTTTTCTACCCAGTGAATGCACTTGCCCCAAATAGTGGGGCAAGTGCATTTTCTGTCTCTAGGCCTATATACCATGGTAAGTGTATTAGGAAAACAGTGGGGTTAGAGCATATAGAACTTTTTGAGAGCTTTCTAACACTTTTTACAGAACTGAATTATCTCTTACAGTTTTTGAGATACGAACTTTTTTCAAAGGCAAGAAATCTTGTTTTTAAAAATGCATAAGAACGTAATTTTGATTTCACTTACCAAATTGGGTTAATTCATCTCCTGGTAGTGGGAATAAATGGGTTTGATAAAAATGGGTAGGTATCCTTAAGTGTCCTTATAACTTTCCAAACATGAAAACTGTTTTTTTACGTTAATAATAAAGTTATAAAAAACACTCACTCACTCTAAAAGTCACTTATTTTTCATATTTACACATGTGTGTTGCACATGGTGTGTGCACTTGCCCCACACAACAAAAATAGGGGGCAAGTGCACAACGCCCATTAACTTTTAAACTATAAGAGATGTAAACTAAATCCAAACATGACTGAAAAGTAGGCTACACTGAAAACTGTACAAAATAAACCAATAATAATAATAATACAATTTTTTACTTTTTTGTTAGGCTATGTTTAAAAAAAAAACCTATACGATCTTTCCCTCGGAGGAAAAATTACATGATCTTTGAAAAGTTTATTCCACATTTTTAAATTATTCCATGGAAATATAGCTTTATAATGTACATGAAGTATGATAAAAAAGGAAGCTTTTACTGCAAATCCTGGTACTGTACTGTAGGGCAAAACGTAAGCGATTGAGATACCTCGTATGCTCTTGCCCCATTTAGGCTCTTACCCAACCTCACCCTAACTTAAGTTTTTTGTCTGAAATTTGTCACAGATAAGTTTTGTATTAACTTAGGTAACTTAACTTAAGTTACCGTAGCGCATTTTGTGCTTAACAACATGGTTTAAGTTACAAAATGTTTAATAACCCGAAGTAACTTAAAACTTAAATCAATATTTTTAACTATTGGCTAAGTACCTACCAATTATAAAATAAAACTGTTATAAGTAGAATTATTGTTGAAAAATGTTTGGTTTTAGAGTATAATATTAACAAACGTTAAAAATAAAAACTTAACCTAACCTAACAAAACTTGCTGATTATAAAAAAAATCAAATGAACATTTACTTAATCAAATTGTTATTAGGGTCGCCCAGTTAAGAAACTGTACCCAGATCTAAGTTAGCTCCAATACATAACTTAGGCCTAAAAACAAAGTTTTATACCAAGCCCAAACCTTTTCAAGCATTTGTTTACAAAGGAATCTAGGCTATGTTTTGGTCATTTTTAAATATGCACAAACTAGGCCTAGGTCTAATAAAGAACACCCCTAACCCAAGGACAAACTATTCCCTGTGGGATTGATTTATTTTGTTAGGTTAAGTTGACCAGATTTGAACAAAATGTTCAAGCTTACTTCTAAAATAGGCCAATTAGGCCTAGGCTACTGATATTTTAGTCCAAACCGAAAAAATTGCCAGACATGCTTCAGTGACCTGGTCTAGGTACCCTCTTCCATGAAGGATCGTCAATGATACAAAATTGTTATATAACAAAGTATATATTGCCTAAAGTAAATAAAAGTTGGCCTTAGGTTAAAAACAAACAAAATCTTACCGGCTGTTCTTTGGGGCTTCCCAATACCCGTCGTCTTTATTCTCTTCTGAGCTTGAGAATACTTTAACAACATATTGGAGTCTAAAGTTCACTTTAACTGTTTTTAAATTAAACTTAAAACTACTACCACTGTATTGTCCCGATAGCACATCTAATACTTTAACGAACCACTGGCATAACAAATGCTCAGCCATTACCTCAATAAACTAAAAGATTAAAAGCCTACTGCTAGAAAAGCAAAAGACAAACCCCCACTTTTTATCAGCTGAGTGAGTAGTGGGTCAGTGTAAACACCTAAGCAGCGTTCCCATTGGTTGCTACCAAATACGTCATTTAAAGTTATCCCGTGAAGCCCACAGGTGTCGCTAACAGTATCATAACGAGAACGACATATACTGTTTTTTTATTTGGGAGATGTAGAATAGATTACAATAATCAATGGTTTTGAGAACCAACAAATCATAAAAAGCTCAGAAACCAGATATAATACCGTACATCCTAATCATACAATAAACTCAATAAGTTAAACATAAAGTTTTAAAAGTTATTATTTTACATTTGCAAGTTACATGAAGGATGGGCTTAGACAACATGCTATGCAGCTTTACATATTTCAATTCAAAGATTTATTCAATGGAGTACAACCAATTATATGTATGTATATATTTATAACTCAATAACGAATTTATTTAAACACAGTTATTCAAGTCCGCCTTCAACTTCTACATATCCAAGTCAAAATCTTGAGATCAACAAAGCATTCTTATAGCTAAAAAAAAACTCTACTATGAAGACGGAAAAGGAAGTACGATATTACAACTGCATATAGTATTTATGAATAAAGTACGTTGAATAAAGTATCATTTTTTTAAATTTCACGATATAAAAAAACAGGAATTTTACTTGAGCCAGTGGTTTTAGCATTTCAGTTTCAGTACCGTAAGGGAAATGTTCTATTATTGTAATCAAAAAGCTGAAAGGGCACGGTCTTTCCATAAGCGTGTATCCTCTCTACTTTACTTCTCTGTAGCCCGAGAAAGTTACGTTTCTACATAGTGTTTAAAAGTATTTTAGCCATGTTGTATTTTTTTAGTGACAGCTTAACAACCCTTGAGTTGCGATCTTCCTTCATTACTACTTGGGCGTTTCCCGTGTTCCCGACGACGCGGAACACACGTTTTAATAAAGCGCGACAAGTGTTTCCAGGATTATGTGTCCGAAGAGTGGGAGCTGGTTTTTAAGTGGGTGATTGAGTTGGACCATGAGTTGGACACGACGGACACTACAAGATAGCCACCTGTGTGCATAACTACAATAACTACATTTTCCTGCCTCTCCCTAAAAAAAATCAAAAATGTCTTGAGAACACAATGAACACCTAGATAGTGTGTGACACCAGTCATATAGGAGATTCTTTATGTTTCCGTTTTATAGGCTGAATTTTTTTTGTGTTTCGCTTTGAAACCCTTGGCACTCATTACTCAATTTCATTTTATCCGTTCTGGCTATGTCTATAACTACTAAGCAATGGTATTTATTATTTCTACATCAGCTGTCTTTGCCAATGCCAGACTCCTATTCTATCTATCAGTTTGCCAGCCACCACAACATCTTTATTTCTTCAACTGAGAACTTTTCTGGTTTTAACACTGCTCGCTAAGAATCGCCATCAAGCAGATATCAAAACAAACAACATTTTTGAATAAAGATAATATATGGTTCATCGCCAGAGATAAAGGTTTAAGGGAAAGGTTCCTCCAGAACACTAGGTCTTATTAAGGGTCGACAAGTGAAAGACTCGGTATCTTACACTTCCGTTTATCCAGTGTTCTACTTATCCTAACACGTAGGTTTCTATGTGCAATTTTATATGCAGTCTGATCCTGGGTCCGTAGTCCTTTACCAGGCAGTGTCTCCGGGCTCTTGTTCAGGTTTTGGCAGGAGGTTGGATCAGTCCTTTGCTTACTTCCTTACTGGCCCGGTGGTCTACGACACTCCTACAAGATATCCGTGTAGGTCCGCGATCTAGGTCTAGATCCTTGGTACCTTCACCCCGGAATCCTCAGTCCCCTAGCTGCTGCTTTCCAATGGAAAAGGTTCTGGGGTCACTTGTTTAGAAGTTAGCACTCTCTAGGCAGTCTCCTCGGTCTGCAGTCTGACTCAAACTCCGGCAATACTCATAGTATACCTATATATACGCTTTTAAGGTGGTGGGGGGCTACAAAGTCCTCCCCTCCACCTATACCCCAGGTGACTACGAACCTGCGTGCTCAACACGCCCATGCGGGGTCGGCCCAACTCACTTCCTGGTGCCATACACACCCTGGTTTTATACCCGCCGAATGGTACCCAAGTGGTGGGGGTGAGTACCTTACCTCGGCTATCGAGCATCTTTCCCCTCCTTTGGAATCATTCTTGTGTCTCCGATTACTTTTGTAGCTTTAACCTCAAAACTATCTTGAGGGTCAAAAACACTTCTTTACAGGAGTCTCAAATACTCCATTGTTTTCATACTGGACATCTGAGCTGTAAGCACATTTTTTTATTGCTGAATCGTCAATTGTTGATAAAATTAAATTAAGCCTTAAAGAAGGGCTTTCCCTGGAAAAAGGAGGAATTTTAAAATTTAAATGCAAAATAATTAGTTTGAATGCTTTCCCTTTTTTACATTTACACATGGTTTTTTACATTTGCTTATGATTAAATTTCTTTATAATTTTGAAATATCCACCAAAATGTTGGGTAAGCCCGTGCCTACCTGGTCTGCCCCCTGGAGCCGCAACTGCAATAAACTGATAAATATTCTAAAAGTATTGTAAAAGATAAAGTTATGAACTGGATGGAAATCTGACAAGATGCACATAACTTACAGTATATATTTGTTGCAAATCTCTTCATATGCACCGTTTTTGACAAAAGCTTATACTTAAGGGAAAAAGCAGGTTACAATACACCAAACAAAATTTAATACATAATTTATTTATATTATATTAAGTTTTACTAAACTATACCTTTAAAATAACAGTATACAAAATCACAATCGCTTTTATAATAAAACAATGATCAATTTCATAATGGTTGCTGTACAATTCTACAAACAGTGAACAAAAGCAAAGCACAGACCTGTCCCGTCTAACATGTCAATTCAAAATGCACCGATGATAACATAAATATACAGGAAAAATTTATGTTTGGAGAAATAAGGTAACAATATTTTTTTACTGATCCAGAATAATACAAAACATTTTTGGTTCTACATTGAAATGTTGATATGAAATGCTAGGCTGTACATGAGTGCTGCTGTAGTAATATTTACACTTGGTTTAGGATTCATAATGGTTGGCTGTTGGGTGGTGGGGGGAATGGACCACCGGGTGGGGGACCCATGACGGGGCCACTACCTGGAAACGGGGCTCCATAGCTATAACAAACAAAGTGCTCACATTGTAAATTTGAATTTTTTAGCACTTACACTAATAAAATTATGTTTTTATTTTCCCTACTAAACACACCAAGAAACCATAAGAAAAATTATAAAATAATACAAATTAATAAACTTATTAACTTGAAAAGGATATCTACAAATTTAGTCACTGAGATGCCATTAATGTGTATATCCCTTAGACACAAACTCTTGACGTGATACTACTGTAATTGATCACAGCAAACATGTCTTGAGTGAAACTATTTTAATACTTATATGACTATATTACAACTTGCACACAAAGCATTTTGTGCCCCTGTACGCTTATTAAAACATTTGTAGCGTTTTTAAGGAAAGCCAAATGGCTAGTTAAGCTAAACTGTTTTGAAACGGGATGTTTTGGATATAGGCATCTTCAGAGAGTAGATTACAGAGAAATGAAGTAAAAATCCAAAACTGGAGAAGTCTTTAGTGTTGCTAACTGTGGCCTTCACAATAACGTTCTAGATACTGATTTTATAATACAAATAGAATAGATATATAACATTGTAAGTTTACTCTGTATCAACTTACGCTTCTACTGAACATTTTCCAGGTTCTGGCTGATTGACAAGGTTTGGGGAGATTATCTAAAATTGAGATTAGGAATCCGTAAAGTACTAGTAGGCTAATTCTTACCTTCTCAGTAGGGAACAGTTTCACTACACTATTTTTTAGGGATGGACTTTATGGTGAAGCCGTGGTGGTGAAACAAAATTCAAAATCTTAGTTAATATTTCTCAGCTTGCACTCAATGTTAACTTTTGTGATCTTTTATTAGTTTATCTATTAACCTTTGCGCCCTATTTTTCTCATGTAAGCTAGTTAAACTATATCCTTTTTAAAATAATTCCTTATTCAACATTTATAAGCTTTTCAATAGTCTGAAGTGCAATATCCCTCATGTAATCAATCCAACCTACCAATTTGGATACGGCATTGACTGTGGGGGCAGAGATGGAGGTCCTTGTAATTCCTCCGGACGAGATCCTGGGGGGCCTTGTAAAGAGTAAGGCCCCGAAGGCGGGGGACCTGGGGGCCCCATCGGGGGCATGTGGTGTAGGGGCCCCATGACATACTCGGGTCCAGGGGGCATCGAATAGACTGGCCCTGGAGGACCACTCATACGACCGTACATCTGTTGTGTCAACATAGGTTAGTTAGTGAGGTTTGGATGACGCATTCTGAACATTTTACCACAGCATAAAATTATTCTTAATTTAGTCACGGACCCAAGGGTTAGGCCTGTGATCCGAGCCCAAGCTACTGTTCACTCTGATTGGTTACTGCTTTTCACTTAAAAACAAAACTCTAAAAGCTGATTAGTTGAACGGTTTAGTAAAAGAACTGAAACCAGATTGGTTCAGACTGCTTATATTTAGCCCACAGTAATTCCACCATGGGTAGTTAAACTTTGTTACAGATAGGAGGTTACATAAAGCAATTTTATCGAATAGCATGAAATATTTTCTAATTTTGCAATATAAATAATCATAAACTTTGGTTATTGAGTTAGTTGAGTAATTTTGTTCTGACTTACTAACTACATTCATCTACCCGTATCATCAACAATTAAAGCCCTCCAAAAAAGATTTGGACATATTAATACATAAAAAAAACACAATGCAGTTGTTATAACTTGGACTACCCCAGAAATCAAAAATTTTATTTCTACCTACACCAGAAGAGCTACCGACTACAATCTTTCGGTCTACTATAGAATTTGGAAAAAAACGTCCTACGTTGGACAAAAAATCATATGTATACAAAATACAT